GCAACAGCTTCCAGGCACTGGAAATACCCTTCATCAAGAAGTGGCATTGGTTGCTTCATTTACCAGATGAATTGCAAAGATTCGGCCATTTGCCCAATTGCTTTGCATGCGAGCGCAAACACAAGGCCATTGGCTACTTGGCCACAAAGCTCCAGAAGACCAACAATTTTGAACGCCATCTCCTGGCCCAGATCCTGCCAGAGGAGATCACCAAGCTGGAAGAACCAGACCTCTTCCCGGACCATGTGTTGTTGCTGAAGCCAAGGAAAGCCAAGCAGCCAGAGCTCGAAGCCTTGAACCAGTTTCTGTCGAATCCTTTGCCATCAGCAATGGTTTCCAGTTGTGCAAGGCTGAGCACTGGAGCCCAATGCCACTGCACAGACCTGGTGGTTTTTGCCATGCAAGAACAGTGGCATGTTGGCCACATGCAATTCCATGTGGGATTCCAAGATTTGCATGCCACTTTGGTGCAATTGTGGGATGTCCAGGAAATTCGAGCAGACCAACAGCATGCAGTTTGCAAGGTTACAAACCAATGGGGCTCATCCACACCGCAGCCATCTTGTTCCCACTGGTCTACATGATGAGGAACAATGATGAAGAAGCCATAGTGCTGCTCCCTTACCAAATGTATGCCAGGCGAGCCCGATGAAAAAAGAGAAGCGATGCTGGACAAGTGCAGTGCTTCCCATGATGGCCTTACATGCAACCAGGCTGACCAACATGTCTTTCTTGCCTTGCTGGCCTTTCCCCTGCTGCCTCAGTGGCCTCCCTTTGCAACTCACAATTATTTTTGGCCACGAAACTCTCTTTTTCTGAAAATTTTCCTTCTGGATGCTGATTTCTTCTGCTGGGAAACATTTTCTTGTAGCCCCAGAAAAGCAAGTTAGCCCTACTTAAATGAAGTTAGTAATTTCGCTAAGCCTTGTTAACTTTTAGCTAATTAACATAATTAACTTGAGTCCTTATAAGAAAACCAGGAATGTAAGTATGGCAGAACCTATGGCGCTCGTTAGTCAAGAGGCTGGTTTGGAGTACTCTGGTTTTGGGTGGCCGTCCTCATCGATGGTGGCCTCGGCTTGCTAGCTCCAAACAGCTTCTGCTGCTGAGCACGCACGCGACGTGGACCAAGTTCTTTGTGGTGGCTAGTTGCCTCCTTGCATATGGAAGATCATACAATGTTTCCTTCATTCAGACGCAGCCAGATTATGACAAGCCGCAACATAGTCTGTGATTCCAGCCTCCTTCAACTCCTCCAGGACAGGATAGTGATGAGAATCCGGCTAATTAATTAGCCCGACTGGCAGTGCTGCGGCTGCTGTTGTGAGTCATGCCTCTTGCGTCTGCAGAATCGAAAGGCTATCACACACCAAGAGCAGCGAGCTGTCAGTTTTCCGTAAACAAGAATGCTTCCGTTACTGTGCTTGTGCTGGGAAAGAAAATGTTAGGTTCCATGCCTGCGCCATTCTGAGTGCGGAGGGATCTTACATGGCGCAGGGGAGATCAGGTGAGATCACAAGCAGGGGGATGCACAAGCAGAGGAGGGTTGTACGAGGCACTTGCTTTCGTTGATTGAAGGGAATTGGGCACTTTGTGTTTAGAGTTTAGAGCTGAAAACTAATCCGAATTCAGCTACACTTCATGGCGTGCCGCTCCTCCAAGAGGCCCATGTGGGAGCAGATCACGAAGGGCTTTCGGATCAACGCCTCACAAAGCCCTGCTTCTAAACATCGCGGGCAGGAACGCAAAGGCCAAACCCGGACTGACAACAGTTCACCAACTGGGACCCCAAAGTAACTCTAAGAAATCTTTGGGCCTTAAGTATATTTACTATATAGCTACACTACATCGAAGCCACTTTACAAACGTCCCGCAGCCTTCTTCAAGAACCAGGCGCAGGTGAAAGATGCAGTGACCACCTGGCGCTTTGAATCTTAACAATACCAGCAAGAGAACCCATGGCTGCAAAAATCGCATTGGAAATAACAATCATAATCACAAATTGTATTATATGATACTGTATGGGGGGGTCAAATTTCTATGTAACGGCTCAAGTTCTCTGGGCAGGCACCAGAACAACAGCCTGCATGCATGCTGCAATACATGCCTCTCATCGGCAGGATCTTCTTAGTCTCAAAGCAACTCCAAACCCTGAACCCTAAACCCTTAAAACCCCCAAACCCTAACCCCTTCACCCCAAAAACCGAAACCTATCTCCTCCCGATCCAGCCTTCTGCCTCGCCTGCTTCTTCGAGTGCGTGTCGTCAGCACACAGCTGGATGCCATGCTTCAACAGCCTGGCATCCGAAATGCCGAGCCCAAGCCCTGAAGCCACAAATGTTGGTGTCACCTGTCCCCACAAGGTAAACTTGGACCATCGGCCTGTCAACGTACATTCTCCGGGAGTAGTTGGAGTCGTTGGTCGCGAAAATGACCCTTTTACCAGCCTCACATTGCCGGACACATAGCAAGCAAATCGCTCAATCTTCTCATCAGAAGGCTGAACGCAGGCTGGGCCACCAGGATCAGCTGATTCACCTCAGCTGGGAGCTATTAGTGCGAGACGAAGTTTCTTCCAGTGCATCCCGGGCACGTTGTCCACGACCTGCCTCTCCAAGTCCATGTTGGACATGGACTGCGACTGGCCGCGTACGCCCCACAAGGTGCCTGAGGCCCATCTCTGTCCACTGGTGTTTTTTGTCTACTTCCCGATGGGTTGTGCACAGCCTGGCAGCTTTTGAAAACCCTTTTGAAGGTCAAGTGACCATGGCCGTCAAAGATGTAGGTCTCGGCACTGTCAAACTCCTGGAGGCCAGCATACTTTTTTGAAGCCGGCTCGTGTTGAGACAGTTACACATCTGATAGATCCGAAGGGCCTCGTCACAGCTTGCAAGTTCTGAGTCGAGCCTTCAGTAGAGCTATCCACATATTCCTCGTGGGCACGTGCGAAGTACATTAGTGTTAGGAAAATGCTACAGCTGATGTACCACCAAATGGCAGAGCCCCTAGAAAACACTACAGTGGCAAACTGCTATTTTGAGAAACCCTTACATGGGAGTGTCTCAACAAATCAGTGCTTTCAGGCCAGGCCTGTATTACATGATCGGGATTACGAAGAGATTTTAGGGGTCTTTAGTGGGGAACGTCGAAGGGTGATCCTGAGAAGCCCTCACAGTCACAGGACTGAGTGGTCAGCCTGCCTCCCTCTTGAACTGCGTCGCACTGTACCTCGTTCTCACAGGTCTCGGGATGACAAACCATGAGGCACCCAAAGAATGTCCCAAGCATAGGTGGATTTGAAATGAAAGCTCCAATGACCGAGTATCTAATCACGGCTTACAGTAGCAGTCAAGGGAGAACAGCCCTTGAGTTTTGGGAGGCATGATTAGGCGGGACCCTCGCGCAAGGCGCCCCTGAAGAAGTGCTTCTTTCTCTCTCCTACAAAGTGAGCTGCGCACGTTTTAGGGTCTGCAAACCTTCTGCTTGCTTCTAAGCGGAGCCTCACTCCCAAGAAGCCTATCGATCACCAAAGGAATCTTAGAAGGCCGAAAGCTTGCAAGAATCTCAAGAACGTGCTCAGTGATTCCGAAATCCCCCCCTGCGAAGATTCAAATTGGATGTAGAAGGTGCAGACTTTTCTTGCGTCAACGTAACCCCCATATAACAATATACTTGGTACGGACTTCTCATGGCCGAACCCACTGATTCAGAAGCAAATTGGGGGCTGTGCCTCACTGGATCCTTGCTGGCAGTCGCGAGAATAAAGAACATCAACATACATCTTTGCTTGGAAGGATATGGGAGTTACTAAAAAAATCTTCTGCATACGTCCGAACTGGGCATAGATCCATATAGCTACAGGGTCCCACGTCCCGAGCGGTCACTTTGAGAACCCCTATATACTATAATAGTTTCCATTTCATTTCCCATGATCCCTGCATTCCCCTATATACTATAGTGGTTTCCATGTTCTTTTCCAGTATCTTTTTACCTATATACTACAGTAGCTTTGCGGACACCATCATCAAGCGAGCCGAGACGCGAGTTCTCAATGCCCTCGGAGCCGCTTGGCTCGGGCCCAGGGCATAGCTGCACCTTCACATGAGCTATAGTCTAAACTCCTAGTTTTCCCCCTGAGAACCCCTATTGTAGTCCCATATATAATTCCCTATATAACCCCCGTTTAGGAGTTTAGAGAAGAGCTCACATGGCCGAGCGCACAACTACCAGGCCGACACAGCTCCAGTGGATTTGGAATGAAATGTTTAGAGATATATCTGTAGTACACTACACGCACACCACACTGTCCAAAAAGCCTGTATACGTATATAAAGAGACACTTTTCCGAGCGGATGCATTTCAACAAGCACGTGGCGTTGTCCATGACAGCTTCGCCTCTGGCGTATTCGTTACAGGATTTCACGGTTCAGAATCTTGGCTTGATGGGCTTTGGCAATTCATTGTGCCTCGAGCTCGGATTCCAGGAGCCATTCTGCCTCACTTCCGGGCAACATATCGGCTTCTAGGAATTCATAGGGTTAATATAGGGTTATTTAGGGTTATAGGCTATAGGGTTGTATAGGACAGAACGGCATGAGGCTGAGTGCCATTTTTACCGTCGTATGTTTGTCGAGGTCATTCGCTTCGAAACGATGCTTGTGGAATGATTATACCGATTATTCCAGGCACCTCGAAAGGACTCTTGCAAGTCTGACTCCAATACCTGAAGCAGCAAAAGGACTCGCATCACTAGGGTAACCTCTTTCCGGAAACTGGCACAAAAAGGCAGAAGCAAACTTCTCATAAGTCATCCTCCAAGGCTCCGAGAGGTTCTTGAGACTGACCGAGAGCTTCTCCTCGCAGTAGACCTGAAGAAGCTAGGGAAATGTCAACAAAGCAGTCGTACAGAACAGGCCAGTTTGCGGGTCGACTCCAAAGGAGAGATTCGCTGCGTGCAGGCTTGCTCATCCAATCTGCTGAGATGGCGTCTGGTGAGATGCGGGCTTGGGATTTCTCGTGGTTATCACAGCTCCCCGCAGGCCAGGGCGGGACTTTCGACTACCAGTCACCACACTTTCAACAGCCTTCCATGCTGGCTTCCCATCCCAATGTACTCGTCTATAACCCCATCCGTAGACATGGAAACTACATGAAACTACTGTAGTATATTGTGGTTATATGGGTTATATGGGGATAATGCAAAATTGAATGGATACTACAGTAGTATATTGGTGTGCATTGTCCGTTTTCTTTTCTATTTGATTCTCCATTATTAGGGCAATATCCCTGAACCCCACCCACGAGGCAATGTGCTTATTGCTTTTCCAGCACACCCATGTCACCCCTACATAGCCCTATTCAATCCCTATCTAACCACTATGTAACCGCATGTATCATATAACCAACCCTATATAGCCCCTCTAAAACCTATACAACCCCTATCTAACGCCTATAATTTCCTATATCGCCCCCTATATAGCCCCTATATAAACCCATAGACTCGAGCAGCTTTCGAAGCTCAGGTCGCGGCACTCTTGAGCATGAGGCATGCTTTCCCTGGATGCATGGCCTGGACACTTACCTGCCCGCGCAAGGTCTAGCATACTGAACCAGATATCGGGGGAAAATATGCTGAGAGGGAATAATGGAACATGGAATCTGCCATCGGGGCATCAGGCTCACCGAGGGGTCAGTAGTTGTTCCATCAAACTTCGAACCTACTACCTCTTGTCAACTGCCAGCAGACCAAGCAAGTGCTTCAGACCTGAAACCGCTTGCCCAGCGCAGCAAGAACTCGACCGTCGTCTAACACCTTGCTGACAACACCACAACAGGTTGCAGGGGAATCCAACGTGTATCGAACTGATAGGGCAAAGCCGTTTTGACTCGACTGCTTGTCGATGCCAGTGCAGCTAAAGCTCTGTCTTCACCCAAGATCCATCATTCAGCTGGCAGCCCACCTTGGTTAGAGGCACTGTAGGAGTTTATGTCTCGATGTTCTTCTGCATTTGAGCTTTCATGAGTGGTATCTCAAGGTGCAGGGTCTGCCTCAGGCCGTTTAGGTGCCTAAGGGCTGGCTTAACTGCTTCAACAGAACTGTCTCACTTGAGGCAGGATGCAAGAGCGTCTGGCATTTCGTCCTGGCAGTGCAGCATGCGCGCTGGTGACTGCTGACGTAGACTATGCATCTATCGCATGTGGCAGCATACTAGACTCCTTTCACAGCGGCAATCCAATCGTCCAAAAACCTTTCTTTATTATATGATGATTCCATCAAATACGGGCTCTGCGGTGTGTAGCGCCGCCTATAAGCCTGCATGCTTGTCAGACTGGGTAGTTTCGACATGCAAATGCAACCTACGCAAAGATCCAGCGGAAGCAATCATCCTTTGTGGGGTCGCAGTGCAGCGTGCACTTGTGCTTCGACCCGTCACGGAGAATGCCCTGCGCACAGATTGTTCTCGCCGCAAGGTAGTAAACTGTGCAAGGAGAAGCATTTGCATTCAGAGGCACTAAGTAGGCACACAGACAAACATCGACCTTAAGTTTAAACTCCTTCAATCAAGAAGGTCTCTAAACTTGACAGAACACCAAGGACTGCGCTTTACATCTCCCTTTGCCGGCACAGCCGCATGCTGAACTGCATGCTGTGAATGTGCTATCTTCTCAACTGACTTCCACACATAGCAGACCATGAAACCCCGTAGCGTGAGCTAACCGATCGCCCAAGTGTCCTATATCCTAGACTTTCGATCTAAAACCACGGAATATTTGGAAGACTCCGGTGTTTGGTCACTAAGCTTTGCATGCAGTCTTCTTCTGCAGCAGGGTCACTGTGTAGGTCCCAATGCGAAATCATGCAATGACAACGCCAATCACATCTCCCAACGGGGATCACGCTAACTGGCGTGTCTTTCCTGCCAAGTGCCAGCTACAAGCAGAGAGCTACTAGCCTTTGAGAATTGCCACCCAAGTCTCCTCAAGGTGAACTTCTTCGCCTGTAACTCGCCTTAAGGAGCATCTGGAATTGATTCACTACGCGAGTCTGAGCCGGCGCGGCTACAGGCCCGCACTACAACTGTCGGGATTGTAAATGCAGATGATGATATCTGACAAATGCTTCCTACCAGCCAGAAGCTGTAGTATTCCCTGATATAATTTCCATTTGATTTTCCATGTTCTTTTCCACTTGATTCTCCACCATCCCTGAACCCTGTAGTAGCTTTGATTTAAAGATTTCCCACATGCGCAACCAACGCTCGTACCGTCAGAGTCCAAACCTCAAAGTAGGGCTGGACATGAGTTTGGGACGCCAACTTCAAATAACGGAGAGTCAGATAGAAAAGAAGATGAATAATGCCATGCAAGCTCCTTTCAGATATAGGGGTAATGGAGAATCAAGCAGAAGAGAAAATGGATAATAACATGGAAAAGACTACAACGTTCAAGGATACTAGAAAACGACATGGAAAAGAAAAGTGATAATATTTAGATGGAAGCTACTGTAGGGTTGAGGGATAATGGAATCAAAATGGAACAGAAAATGTACAATGAAATGGAAACTAGCATTGGGTTTAAGTATAATGAAGAATCTATAAGAAATGGAAACCCATATTTGGAATAGTCAAAGCCGCGCTGCACGCTCGTCACCACTTCCCCACGGTTGTTAGCCTGGTTGAAGAGCTTCAGGGCCTGAGCTCTGAAGGTTTGGGGTGTAGGGTATAGGGTATAAAGTGTAGGATTTAGAGTTAGGGTGTAGGGTTTAGGGCCTTTAGGGTGTAGTGTTTAGGGTCCAGGCCACTTGGGGACCCACCTATGGTTACGCTCAGTCAAGGGATTTCGGGCTGAGGTTGGAAGCTAGGGTTTGAGGGGCCATTATCACAAGGGACAGTAGAACTTATATGGGAGGGGGCATTTCATGTGGCATAGCCGATAGCCTATGTACATATTGATGATAGTTGTGGGTTTGACTTTGTTTGGATCCTTGACTTCAGGGCCCGGGGGGGAAGTGGGATCATAGAAGGATTCTGGCGGTCCCTAATTCGGATCCAGTTCTTCTACGCCAGCCCCTGAGCCGAGCTATGTTGAGACCCTGGGGCTGTGGTAGAGCTCATCTGCAGCAGAGTGCTTCTAGGAAAGACGGCAACAGTGGAGCAAGCGCCGAGCTCAGACTTGGAGCTTCAGAGGCAACTTGACTTAACAGCGACCGGCCAGCAGTAATCTGAGCTCATTAGCATCAATACGCCTGAGCTAAGTCAGGTTCACTCGAAAAATATGCGTTGGAAGAGGAAAAGGGTCACTGCTTCTCCGCAATCAAGCAGATGGTGGAGGCTTACTATTGCTGGGCTGGTGTGACTGAGGCCCTGGCGCTCATGTTGGAATACCTCAGGGCACGAATCCAGCTTTGCAAGGTTGGCCCAGATCTATATTTGAGGGCATTGAATCCTGCCAGGACCAACAGAAGAGGCCGCACTTGAAAACCTCCACCTGAAAGGCAAGGCAAATACCTATCCCACTTTAGAAGGGAACCCGCAATTTTGAGACATGTGCATAGGACGCCCTCACCCACAAGGAGTCCCAGGTGCGACGTGTCAGCTGTGATGACCAGCAGGCCCGACCGCACGTGGCGAACCACCGTGGGACTCTCGCCATGTGGCTGGTGCCCACTGAAGACCTCAATGAGTATGGATGACGCACAAATCTTAAGAACTCAAGCCGGTGTTACTTTTGCTTCATCCAGATCACCCCAATTGAGCCGGTACACGAAGGGTACACGAAGACCTGGGGGCTGGTCAACAAGAGGACAAACTGCGGGTTTGCAGCTAGACCGTGTGGCACTTCTTCTGCGTTAAAATGCAGGATTCTACTACCAAGGTGGAGGTCTAGAGGCTCAGTGGTCATCATGCTTTCAAGTCGAATTTCCACCCAAGATCACGAGAGCACAGAAAACAGTGCCGGCAATGCATTCTCCCCTGCCTTATGTACGCTCTGCGTGGGGATACGCAGCCCTACGTATCCTCTGTAGGCAGAGAAGGACCTTCCATTCTCAAAACCTTTCTCGAATCTTATCTAAGGCTTCTTCGTCCGGCATCCTTCTTCCGTCACATTTCGGCAGGCTGCTCTGCGAATGCCGGACTTTGCCAGGAAGTCCTCGACGCTGGCAGACCGCTGGGCGGGGTTGCCTTAGGTGCGAAGTATTGGACACTGTGCCAGGTGATAGATAGAGGATATGACTTCGCCAGTCCTACAAGGATGGAAAAAAGTCTTGGGCCGGTGCCATTGTTGAAAGGGTTGTGATAGACAATGGTCTTGTTGTCAGCACCGCCTCTGCAGGAGACAGTGATGGATACAAAACCAGACTTCAGGTGCCATGTCCTAGCTCTCCACTAATTATAGTCCCGCTTAAGTAGATAGAACATAGGGGATATGGGGATGTTATTATCATGTACCCAAAGCCATATTCTATCTACTTAAGGGGGACTATATCCCTGCACCCTATGGTGGCTTCCATTTCATTTTCCATGCTCTTGTCCATTCAATTCTTCAGGATTTCTGGTTTCTGAAGTCATCCTGGCCTGCCCTGGAAGCAGCTAACAGTATCTGACGGCCAACACAGGTCATGCCGCAACCAGGACACACTTGGAGCACCCTCACCCGAAAAGGCAAGGTATTGAAACAGAGGGATGTAACTTTCACTTCAACTGACGTCCTGAGGAGGCATCCTCCTTCATTCAGTTGCTCTGGCCTGGAGATCCGTAGTCAATGAGCAGGTCCTTTGAATCATCTGACGGCTTGGTCACAAATGGGGAACGCAGATAAACTAGGATTCAGGAGCTACATAATCGTAGGAGCGGGCAAAGATGATGCTAATGCATACGTCCGTATAGAAGTTGGACTCTTGGCACCTATGCATAGTAGACAGGTGCAAACTTCAACACCTCTCAAAGTTTCCTTCGGTTGCATCTGCTGCCTCACCGCCGCAGCTCAGAGAATCCAGACATAACCATCCCAACCAAGAGTCGCCACCACGGCGGTAGGCGCCATCCTCCTGACGCCAGAAGGGCCGCAACTCGAAGTCGCGGAGTTGTGCGTCCTTCAAAGCGTCAATGCTAGATCCCACGGGGTTAGAGGTAGTCAAGCCTCATGACTTTGCTAAAAAAATCAATGGTTGCCGTGACTGGGAGGGATGGTACCCTTGGAAGGTGGGATAACAAAGCCAATGCAGTCCAAGCAGAGCCCACTTGCTATACTTGGGGTGACTTGAGGTGGTTTGTAACTGTGGCCATACCTATCCTTTCCCACCCTTCCAAGCAACCTGGTATTCTGCCCTGGCATTTCCTGAAACCCCTGATTGGCGTCGCAAAAAACTACAATGAGTTCTATAATGATTTCAAACACCCCGAAATAATCAGCTGAGTCTAATGGATGACGATCTAAAAGCCTGATGGGTGCAGGATGGTTGATGTGAGTCTTTTTGATTCGGGAGAATCAATGCAAACCAATGCCGCATGACCAAGCGAGCTTTAGCATCGACCTGGCTGTCACGATGCTGAATTCGTGCGAAGCTTGCTGAGACGCATACAGCCTGGGGAACACATCCTGCAGCTTCAAGTTTGGTCTCACCAGCAATGACAAGTTACACTCTTTGGAGCAGTCTCTTGCCCAGGTCTCTGTAGCATCAGTTGCAACACTGCTATGTACAATTTTCGCGGCATTCACACCTGTTGAACGAGCCACCGCAGCAGCCACACATCACGCACCTGAGAGTCACAATGTCTGCATGATACCTGCCCTGGATGGGATCCCAATGCGGGGATGCGTGAACTTTATGGCTGGAGGCTGGAACCGCCAGTCTTAATGCTTAAAATACGCCAGGGCAGGCCTGCTTTAGGAGGAATCAGAGCTACCGAAATTTGTTGGGCTTCAATTCAAACTGGCTTCAATTTCTTCCTGAGCAGAGCTGATGTTACTTCAAGATCTGTACGTGAGATGCGGCCCATCAAGTCCAAAAAACCCGGCTTTCGCAGGAATGGAACAAGCAGTGCCTCTCAAGCTTGGCGTGCTTCCTATACCGCCTGCTTCACCCTTGCAATGTCCATCTCCGACCTGCCTACATCTCTTCGATGTTGGCCTGCTCGTAGATCCTGCAGGAACAATGCTGAAAGCTCCACAAGTTCGAAATCGGGCTGCTCTGTTGGCTATAGGCTGGATTGAGGCATACCCATAGCCTCGTAGCAGCTTGAGGTAAAGCAAAGCAAGAGAGACTTCTGCTGCCCAACCTCCCGGCAGGGCCCTCGGCCACATAGCGACGGTGCCTCGAGCAAGGGCATGGTGTGATGCCAGGAGGTTTGGGATTAGCAAAGAGGCTTCGCTAGGACTCAGAGGTACAAGGTCTAGTAGTTGGGCAAGTTCGCTGACACAAAAACACGTGCCATGGCGTCAAATGAAGTGGCAGGGGGGTTCTAGCCCGTGAGGCCATCACGCGTACTGGGCACAACATGGCACAACAGCACATTGCACCTCTGCCCTGGAGGGGTTCTTGAATACCCCAAACCCTGACCCTGAGGCATCACGAGCTTCACAGTGCTTGCGACATGCTTTCTTGGCGACTCTCCAGCTCTCGACACCGAAAGAAACTGTTCAAGAAAGTTCTTGCCTCGCGAGGTCGGGACGATCCATGGCTGGTCTCCCCGGTGGGGGTGCAACCCGGACCTGTGCCGCAGTGCTTTGGCAGATTCGACGCCAACTGAGGTACAGGGTTGTTGGATGCTTGCTTAGGTGCTACCTTGTCAATTTTGCTTGGCGGGCATCCGAAATACATGCACTGATGCTCTTGCTTGGCCTCACTCCTTGCCTGAACAGCTTGAGCACTTTCGTGCAACAAGCAGTCATGCCTGGGGGTTTGGAGTCTAGCAGGAGGCCATGACTTTCAAGGACTGTCACTTTGTTTGCGTAAAGTGTGGGCTACCATTTCTGCGCAGCCGTCAGTCATGAGGGGTAATATGGGGTAATGAACTGAGCGTGCCTTTACGAACAACATGCTGGCAAGGGTGCAACCGACAAGTTATGACTCGAACGCCGCACCTGCGACTATGCCTGTGCCTGTCCGGAGCCAGAGGAAGTGCCAAAACCGAGTGCCAAGAACAGGCACAGCATTGGCTGACCTGGCCTCTTTGAGCAGCGGCTTCCTTGGTCTTTTGCTTGGCGCTAGCCGTAAAAATCTACGAGGTATACTCAGTTGTATGACCCCTGAACGTTCGGAACTCCTATAGGTATGAGTCAATGCGAAAGTGGATCGTTGCAGGAACATATTCCACGACCCAGTGCAGTGAGGTCGCCCAACAAGGCCACCAATGCTTATGCCTAACTTGCTAACTCTCATTAATAGAGAATGTATGGGAGCCACGTCCCTGTAGCTCTGCTATGAGGCCTTCATGCCACCACACCTGTTGTAGTCCTACACGCCCAAAATGAATACACCAGTGAGTGTCAGAGTCCAGGAGAGACATGGAAGCTCCTGCATCACATCACCTCGGCTTGCACAGCGTTGAAGGGTCAGGCAAAACACACAGGATACTGATATGTTGATGTGTATATATATATACATACACAGAAACATAAAGTTTCTGTTTCCAACCAACTGCGCTGGACCCCAGGTTGCGGGTTGGGATAGGCTTCCAGACTGGACAGTCTGACAGCGTTACTTCCGGGTCTTGCGTGTCACGGCCCATTCATTTTTTCACATCTGCATGGCTGGCCCAGAAGTTTTGGATGAACATGTTCAGCATTCATGTCTCAATCAAACCCTCGCCGATTTCAGGACTGCTTTGTGTAGTAAATTTCAGGAAAACAAGGATCCATGCGGGCATTTCTCAATGCCTGAATCCTCACCCCAACCCTGTCTGGGCCGGCACAAGGGGAACCAACAATTCTGAAGTCTCAAGCTTAAATCCCAATCCCCAACCTGAAGCCTTTAACATCCTTTAACTTACCTTTGGTTAGCTGGGAATAAAAGAAGGGAAAAGAAAACGTCAACTACTATAATCTATTATGGGTCATACAGGGACTACAATAAGGATTCATTCCTTCATTCCTAGCTAACCAAAAAGAAGTCAACCTCAACACCGAGGGGCCACCTTGGTGCAGGAGGGCCTCCAATTCTGGGCAGCTTGGCGGCTCTGTGCGACGCCCGAAGCAAGCTGCCTGTGGGGGTCGAATGGTCCGTGCCCCACAACCTATAGGGGGGTTTCCCAAAATAAGGTGTACCATTTTGGAGGCCCCATAATAAGGAATATAGCATATTGGGGTCTACATTGAAATCCCCCTATTTTGGGGAACTACTATAGGGAGGCAGATGTGCCCATGCTCAAGGTATGCGCTACCCAATGCGCCATACTCCAAAGAATCCACGAATACGGGAGACATTAAAGGGCGGACAGGGGAGATGAGCATGAGAGGGATTGCAAAGCACATTGATGCTCTCATCCTATAACACCTTCACACCCCTCTCTCTTGGAAAACATCACCAAGGAGCAGAAAATGCTACTCATTTGACACTTACTAAGAAGTGGCGTCCTCCGAATATACTGATGCAATGCCGTTTACAACTATCTGGGCTTGAGGATCTGAAATTTCAGAGGCTTCGAGGTGTGGGAGCATTTCCGTGCTGCTTCATGACAATGAGAGCCTCCAAGCTAACAGAAATCTTCCAGAAGCTAGGAGTTCTGTCCATACACACCACACATTCCACTTCAGAATAAGGCCTGAGATTCCTTCTTTCTCATCTAACGTATCTTGATTTCCTGCCATACACTCGTGAAGCACAGCCAGAAACACCGTGAAGGAGGCGTCCCGCCTTTGGTACGTCCAAGCGCCAGTCGAACTCAGCGAAAGAAGCAGCCACGCTGGCAAAGCCACCCGTGTCGCGGAGGCGCTCGAGGCTTTTTGCTAATGCCGGGGCCCTGCTGCCAAGCCTTACATCTCAGAAGGAGTGCAGCGGACGCCATTGGATGTCACATGAAATTCTCTTGGGGTCCCCTTGCCTTGGGAAGCGACATCAGACGTCAAGGCAGGGCGTGACATCTTGTAAGAAACCCTATTGGCAAACTCAATGCCCAGAAGCTTCTCATCCAGGCTGCCCACGGCGCTGTATTGGGCGAGCCGGTCAAGCGCACTGGGCACAGCCTCCAGAACCGACTGCGCGAAGGCGACCAAGCTCGCCGGAGAGCTTCCAAAGTCATGTCCGTAGTACTTCCTCACGTGTCATCACAGCCCTGATGGACTGCAGCTGTGATTCACGAAAATGGCTTGCCCCTACTTGTTGATTTTCTGCATAAGTTAACAGCCCCCCCTCTTCTTCTTCTACAGGCTCTACGGGACCCTGAGGCCCCATTTGGGGGAACCCCAAGCCCAGCGGAGTCCAAGTCTGGTCAGCTATCCAACGAGGCTCGGAGTAGCGAATAAAAGGAACAGCCCCTACTCATACCTAAGAAAACTTATCAGAGGCGAAGTTCCCTTTAATCTCTTCCTCCCTTCTCAACCTGGTTAGCCCCCCGTTCTTCTTCTTCTTCTTCTTCGGGCTACACCCGCCCCCATGGGCGGGCCAGGGCACTGCCCGAGCCCTCGCGGTTCTGTCTGGTCGGATTCAGAGGACCATCTATCCCAATTCCCACATTAGCCCCCCCTTTCTTTCTTTCTTCCTTTCATGCGGGCTATGGGCTGCCCCCGAGGGAACAGCCCGGGCTCCTGCCCAGCCCTTGTTGCATGGGCCTCGCTGGCACTTTGAACCTACCCCCTCGGTTCCACTTGTCAATATTCAGCGGGTATCGGCACTAACATGTTAAAGATATGTTTGACAAGCGAAACTTGGCCTGATAATCCTGGCCTTTGCCTCTAACGCTAACCCCCCTCTCTTTCTCTCTCTCTTCTTCTTCGATGGGCTATGCACCCCCCCAGGAGGTACTGAGGTTAGGCTCTGTCTCTGTCTCTCTTGCTTGCTTGCTTGCTTCGGGCTATACCCACCCCTAACGGGTGGGTCAGGGCACCGCCCGAGCCCCGATGAGTCTGCGCGTCCGGTCGGGACCAGTAAGTACC